TTTTTCCGTAATATATCTTACTTATATTTTTTATTAATGAGACCTGCTTCATATAATTCCTCAATGATGGATATAATCTCATTATCTAAGCCAGTATTGCCTGCGTCGCGTGATGCATATAATAATTTTAATCGTTCCACTAATTCATTTGGGTTGTCCCAATATATAAAGTCAGTATTATTTTTAAGTTTTTTTAAGAGTTTCACGCCATTCCCTTGTGTAAGGCTTTCTTGACTTGTAGTATTATTTCTGGAGAACTTAAATAATGGCTTGATGATCTTCATATATTTGAAACCTTTATTGCTGTTGATTGGTTTGGATGGATTATAGTTACGCCTGTGTGCATTAGTCTTGATTAATAATGATTTATAATTTTGCAAATCCTCCTCGGTAACCACATCTAAATTAGGTTTCTTTTTGAATAATAATTCTGTTAATCCAAGAGTTTTGTTGAAACTTTGATTTCCAATATCTAAAATATTGCCATCGTCATTTACGCGGGTTTTGCCGAGCATGAGTTTTCCTCGTTCATGTCTTACTCCAAACGGTATATCAGGCATTACTTCCGATGATGTAGACCATGACAATGAGTAGTTTTTAGCACTTGGTGAAGATGGCAAGGATTTAAACGAATTTGCGCTTACATTATGATCTTCAATAGATGGTGTAGTGAGTGTTCTATCCGAGAAAGCATTATCATTGTCTTCGGATTCTTCACTATTTGCTTGATCAGAATCGTCACTTGAAAAGAAATTGGTTTCACTGTCATCATTTTTATTTTTTTTCAATATGGGTTCAAAATCTCTTTCTATTTTATGTTGATTTACATCACTTTTATTTGCAATCATATTGAGCGGTTCAACAATAGGTTTAAATATTGTCTCCAATGCCGTATTATTCGAAATTTTTGCATCTTTGATTAATTCAAGTTTTCTTTTTACAGCTTCTGCTGACTTCACAATTTGTTGTTTTAAATCTTTTTCCATCTTTGTGGTTTGCTTTGTTCCAAATCCGATAAGAAAATGATTGAATAATATAACTACAATCTGTTATGTATGTTAATCTAAGATTATGAATGTATCAAATGCCATCCTGTAACATCCCTTATTTTTTTCACAGTCCTTATTGATTACAAGATAACTAAAAGGCTTATCCCAAACAGCTGAGCACATTTCGCGAAATTGGGACCATGACATATCAGATCCCACGTGTTCTTCATAAACGTGTTTCAAATTGATATCGTCTTGTTTGAATAATATTATTAGGTTTGAATTATCCCGTATGAGTTGTTTAGGTATTTTAGTATATGTTTGATTTATATAAAAACAATCAATGTTCTTATGACGTCCCATGGCGAAGTAATCACGAATATTATTTTGATTTTCACATGCAACATCATCGAATATAAAAACGGAGTTTGGTAGAGCTTCGTGTGGGCTTAAAATTTCGTTGTTATTACTGTATTTGTTAAATGCTGTATTGGCCACCATGTTTAAAACTTTTTCTAAGAATATGTACTTAGGTTGATATAAAGATTTTGAATACACATAGATATTACAAAAGCGTGGACCATTTTCATGTAATAATAAACTTATTACTAGGTTGGTTTTTCCACAGTTGGATGGACCGCAAACAAGACAACGTATTGTATTTGGTAATAGGTTACCATGTCGTTTGGTTTCGTTAATAGACGGAGGACATATACAGTTCAACTTCAACGATTCTTTCTGTTTTACAAATTTCATTATAGCTTTTGATCTTGATTGTAGCGTGGTTTTCAACAAAATGAGCTCAAAATTTATCACTTTAACATTTAAACGTTTGGTTTTTATTTGAGGAATGAACAAGCAGCACAAGCAGCATTTAACCACGTTAGAAATCACGAACGGCAGTAAGTGAGAATGCCACGGTACCTCATTGGTTATTGGGGATTCTAATTAACTTTTATCTCTATATCACGAAACCAAAAAAGGTGAATTAGAAGCCTCCAATCGCTTGTGATTGGGGGATTTTAATTCGCTTTTTTGGTTTTGTGATATAGAGATAAAAGTGAATTAGAATTCCCAATAACTACCTACTGGTCCCCTTTGCTGAATCTTTTGGCGAGGGGTTCACATTAATGCACGACAACGCCCGCGCCCACACTGCAGCTATCGTGAGTGACTTCTTACAGAGGTCCCAAATCTCTGTGATGCAGTGGCCAGCGAGAAGTCCGGACCTGAATCCGATAGAGCACCTCTGGGGTCATCTTAACCTTGTGTAGGTTCTATCTCGGGACCCAGCTCCTTCGACTCTACAGGAGCACCAAGTTGCGGTGATTGAAGAATCCCCCCCCTAGCCCATTCTTACACTAGATCGGGGGTAGAGGGATAGGGGGGTTACACTAGATCTTAAGTTAATTTTAAGATACTCTTTGTAAATTATATGTTGTTAATAAGGACTTAATTAAGGATTTTTATTTATTTTTTCATTTTAATGTTGTTTGTATAATTTTAATTAAAAAAAAGTTAAATTTAATGGTTTTTGGATACTCCTTTCTAATGATACACAACACTATTCTCTAAATAATATTTAAGAATTTTTAAAGGTGCATTTTTTTCACGCCGTGTGTTATGTATACGCCAGTAAATAGATGAATAATTAAATATTTTAATTTTCTCTCATTTTCTTATTATTATTAAATTAATAAGTATCGTTTATTTATGGAATAGTTTTTTTTCTTAAGAAATGTCCGACTTTTTGCCTAAAGAACCACAGTTAATAAATGAACACAAAAAAGTCGCATTTTACAAACACCTCACATTAAATTACAAAAATTGGAGGCATAAAGCCGTATGGGCACATACTAATCAGTTGAACAAATATATTGAATAATTTTAGTGGCATAAAGGCGGATGTCATCATTTTTTTTAAAAAAGTTAATTTTTCACTGTTTGAAAACATTGTTTTGAAATTTTAATTATAAAGCTAGTTAAGCTCCTTATTTAGCTAAAAGTAAATGCAAAGACAACATTTGCTTAATGTTGTAACTTATTGAAATATTTGCCGATAAAAATGAATTTTTATTTTATTCTGTCCTGTAAAGTTGGCAAAATCAACATCCGCCCTAATGCTTCTAAGCTCTAGATTCATTTTTGGGAATTATTTTTTAAGGGCTAAAATAAGTGGTCGAAATTATCATTTACAATTTTTGAAGCTACATACATATTATAAAGTTACATACGAACAGTGCAAGTTAAATAAAGACTTGTAAAAAGAGGATATAAATTTTCGACAGCTTTGCAGACAGAAATGTCAAAATTTGTAAATGAGCTTATTAAATAAATAAAACTAGTTTTTTACGGGTTAATGCACGAAACTTAATTTAATTTTATTTATTGACGTTTCGTAGCCTTTATACCCGCTATACACACTACGAGAAATCGTTACGATTAGACTGTACAGTCCGAACGGTACCGATAAATCGTAGCGTGTATGTTATAAAACTGCACAGTTTCCTATACTAAACGAAATCGTATAAACTGTACCGTCCGAACTGTACAGTCTGATCGTAACGATTTCTCGTAGTGTGTATGGCGGGTATTACAGACTACGTCATGGGAATGAGAAAATGAGCTTATTGTTAGCAATAAAATGCTTAACTTAGTTCTAATGGCGCGGTTATACTTGGTCGCTTCCCCGAATAAGAGTAGCAATGGAATTCGGGTAAACGACTAAGTGTAAATGAACGGAGTCGACTGCGCCCGTTTCGGGTAGATTTTCTTTTGATTACCCGACACCGTCATCCAGTCCGCAGTCCAGTGTCAATACTGCTTCAGGTGCCGGTATTCGAGAAACGACTCCGGCTTAATAAAGCCTGGTCTTTAGTTTCTTATTATTAATTGATTTTTTATGTTTAAGTCCATGTCATTAAAACCATAAAAGGAAATTTTATTCAAACATTGTGTGATTGCGTAAACAAAAGTTTTGTTTTTTACTACCAAATAATGCGTTATTTTTTTAATTTAACAAATTTTTTTTTTGTTTCAGTTTTTGTTCTTTATTTCTGTTAATTTTCAATAAAAATATTAATTAAATATAACAAACTTTAATTTTGACAACCCTGTTCATACTCGGCTATCATAACATTTAGTTCGCGACAAAGGCGGCCATATTTACTAAGCTTCGGTTCAAAATCGGCCATTCTAATAATTTACTATCAAAAGCGGCAATATAGTAATTTTATTTTATTATTATGGTGCCTGTGGTTCATTTTGCGCAATGATTTTATGTTCATTGACATTCATCATAACTACAAATCGTAGTGAAATGTTAATTATAAAAATCCTCCCTTAAAGACGAGATTAAACAGTTTTGACGTGACAACGTCTTAAATTAGGTTGCGGCTGGGAGTCACTTATGAAAAAGTGTAACGCTCGGTAACGTTACGATGAGTCTCTCGTGTTAAGTTTAAGTTTACATGTACAATGTTTTAGTAAACAAAATATATTTCTATAGTTAAAATTTGTGCAATTCTTATTTTCATTCAATTCCTTGTTCCTATTGTGCAATTTAATTATATTCATATCAATAAATATTCTACCGAGAAAAAGACGTTGTCACGTAAAATCTTCGCCCGTAAAACCGACTTTACAGGCAACCATTTTTTTTGATTTGCCAAATATTTGGTTCGCCCTACTTTGCCGCCTTTGATACTATACGACTCAAACATCTTTCATGCTTCGGGTGCATACGGGCTAACGACCAAATGTAATTGCGGCATAAGTGCAGTTTCATGGACAATTGTTATGCCCGCTCACGTGTTCCCTCCTTCTTACAACCTGGGTTCCTTTAAAAGAGGCGTGAAGAAGCAACATGCAGGCCGGCAAAGTGAGGATGGCTGGTGTGGCAGATAGAACTGCTGTACCAGCTATCTTCACGTCTGGACTTCACCGTCACTTAACATCAGGTGTGCGGAGTCATTTGTCGGACCTAGGTATCTACATAAAAAAAATGCTAACCTCTTTAATCTTCTTTTCCATGAGAGCGTTCACGTTCAAGCTATCCCACTCGCTTCTGCAGTGGACTTTCAAAGCCTTCAGATCCAACTCGTAGTTAGGTTCCCTAATCAAGGGCTCTTTCTGGACCACCTGAAAGCAAGGATCTTATGTTACTGCACTACGCGATCTCCAGATTCAAACTCTTGGTAAAATCGACGACCTCCTTCGCCGAGTAATTTGTACGCCGGATTTCAAGGTGTCGCCTACTCGACAGGTCCCGGGTTTGAATCCCGGTGGGGGCAGATGTTTGTGTGATGAATACGAGCATTTCTACTCCAGTCATAGACGTTTAATATTTATTTCTAAATAAATATACTTATATACATATGTATCAGTATATGTCTTCTATGCGTTGCCCTAGTATCCCATAACACAAGCCTACAGTGCATATTTTGGCGCTAGGCTAATTAGTGGGTTTGAAAAAAATAAAATAATCTATCAGTTTGTATCATGGCAAGGCTATTATCTTCTGCTCAATTGTTCTTGGGTTCAAAATCCGTTAAGGCTTTTTTTTGACACACTCAAATGCTGTTGGTCGCAGATGACCTTTACAGCGTCACCGGGTTTGGGGACGGCGAGATCCTAAGGGGACCTCCTCAAGGCGAGAATTGGCGAGTGCCTCTAGAGGTATTCCAGGCGGATGGCATCACCCCGGGAGGAGTCTGCTCTCCGTTTGGAGCCTCTACACCGGGAGCACCTGAGGGGGTCGGCTCATCTAGTGGGCGTCTCTGAGACTCAGACTCTCCCTCTAGTTAGCCGTTGTCGTGGGGGGCGGGGAAAACCGCCGAGGTACGCACCTGTGCCTGGTATAGCGTGTCGTGTGTAGACCGGGTCTTTACACTCTTATCCTACGGGTGCGGCGTCTGCCTAATGCTAAGTTTTGTGCAAGTATGCTAGCTGTGTAGTGTTGGTGTTTATGGCATGTATGGGACCTGTTAATGCTAAGATTATCCCTGCCATATATGTCCTGCCCGTATCATAAGACTCACAGTGCTTATTTGGAGGCTAAGCTAATTGGTGTGAGTGTTAGAAATATTTATATTTATTAACTCTGGAGTACGGAGGAGCTCGAGATGACGAACTCTGAGTTAGCAATCCATGCTCCGCCATTGTGAAAGTTTCTCCCACGATCAAACCGTGTTAACGACTGCTTCTAAAAAGTAAAAAATCACTCACGTCAATATTAGTCAAGGTGATGGAAGGTTTCGGTTTCCCCTTCTTGGCCGCATCCAAGTCTCCATAGTTGGCCAAAAAGTCCAGCACGAAGGAAGAGATGCCAGCATAACGAATAAAGGCACCAGCACCATTGCTATGAAAATAATTGAAACGTCTTTGCATGTGTGATGTTTGGATTTTTAAAGTATTTTTGAAATAATACTTCATTAAGGGTAGATTCATGAAGGATGGATGGCCTACGTTGCCACCGACTTCCTGTGCCACTATTCCCACACGAACAAAGAAATTAGGTGACTCATTTCTTTGTCGTACTATTCGTAAGTGGAATACTTTGCCCGCGCAAGTGTTCCCTCCTTCCTATAGTCTAGGGTCCTTTAAGAGAGGCGAGAAGAAGCATTTTTGCAGGTCGCCAAGGTGAGGATGATTGGTGTAGCAGTTTATAACTGCTGTTCCAGCTATCTTCGCGTTTGGACTTTATTACCACTTAACAGCAGGTGGGGTAGAGTCATTTGCCTACCTCTATATAAAATAAAAATCGGAAGCATACCACCACCAGAAGTAATGGTGGTATGCACCACCAGAAGTAATTCGTCAAGTGGTCAAATGGCAAACATCTCATCGACGACCTCCTTGGCCGAGTGGTTTGTACGCCGGGTTTCATGGTGTCGCCGACTCGAGAGGTCCCGGGTTCGAATCCCGGTGGGGGCAGATGTTTGTGTGATGAATACGAGCATTTGTACTCCAGTCATGGATGTTTAATATGCATTTCTATATAAATATACTTATATATGTACAATATATGTATTCTATCCGTTACCCTAGTATCCCATAACACAAGCTTTATAGTGCTTAGCTTGGGGCTAGGTTAATCTGATTAAATTAGCCCCTCTAGAAGCAGTTCTCCGGTTGTATTGGCGCAATTAGACTTGGTCGTTAGCCCGAATATGAGTGCCACTGGAATTCGGGTAAACGACTAAGTGTAAATGAACGGAGTCGAGTGCGACTGTATACGGGTAGATTTCCTTTTGTTTACCAGACACCGACTTCCAGCCCCTATTACAGTGTAAATAGTTTGCGTCTTTTCTTCGTGCACCCGAATACGTGCTAACGAAATGTAATTACGGCATTAGCCCGGTACACTGAACTAATGAAACTTTTCAGTTGCGATAGTCCATGGGCCAATCGCTTAACGGGATAGGGTATTGTATTGTAGGATAAGTGCCAGTTGTTAGCATCTGTGTTTAGAATGAACATTGGCAGGGGTTTTTACTATGGGGTCCCTCGCTGACCGGCATGGCGTTGGCTGTGCCGGCCACCGACGGACCTCGTGATGGCAGCCCCCCCTTGTAATTCTGTCCTGCAAAGAGGGGGGCGGCGGAGGGAGCTACACGGGCACGCCCAAGTAGCCCTCCGCAGCGGACGGGGGGCGGTACGGGGGGCACTAGGCCGCGTACTCAGCCCCCACGCGCGGGCCATCCTGCGCACGTCTGCGGGGTCCCCGCGATACCCCGGGAGACCCCTGCCGTGGAGCCCCGGCTAGGCCTGGAGGCTGCTAGGTGCGGAGACGCGGAAGAATCCCTAAACGGGGATCCGGCGGCTTCGCGCTAAGCAGCTTAGAGGGTATTCGCAGGACTTTTTTAGCGGATATTATGCCGTAAAGCGCCCGTAAGAGTTGCGGGATCCTCGGTGGTCAGCCACTGGGGGGCCCGTAAGACTTGCGGGAGCCAGGTGTGAGGTCCGTTCGACGGTGTGCCTTTTAAAGGCGCCGTCGTCTGTAAATAGCATTTTTACCTGCGTTATAAAAAAGGGGGATTTTTACTATTGTTAAAAAAATCATAATTTTACTAAAAACTCACGAAAAAGATAATAGTTTTCTTATCTATTAGACGCAAAACGCTTGGGATTGTCGGAGCCTAAAATGACGTCAAACGCAAGTAAACTTCCAGTTAAAGTGACATTACATTGTATCTTTTGTCTTGTCACCAATCTTTGTATTATTAATTTAAAATATTGTAACTTGCTTTAAGTCAATAAACGTTTATTATTATTATTATTATTTTGACGTTAATAACAGTCGTGTGACGTCACACACTAGTAAGACGCCATAATGTCCAGAGAAACGTTGTCGCGGCAATTTGAAAATGGAGTTTTTAATTTGGTTATTTTTACTGAAATGCACAACAGAATGATGAATACCCCTTTTTACGGACTCCGTAACCATTAGACAATAACGTGAGATCGTTTCTTAAAACTTGTCAAATACCCTATTGCTATGGCTATCGCTGTCGCTTAAGATTTTGTTCTGTTATTTATGACCGCCTAAGGTTTCCAAATACCTCACGCTTATTTTCTTTTATATTGTTTTTACCAATGCAAAAGAAAAAAGCGCGAGGCATTTGAAGGCCTTCGGTGGTCAGAAATATCAAAATGAAATCGTACGCGATGGCGATATTTATAGCAATCCCGTTAGACGATAGGTCCCCAGTTGTAAACGTTACCCGGACTATTGTCATAAATATTTAAAAATGGTAGTAAAGTAATAATATAAGTACTACTAAATAAATGCAAACCTTACATAGTTGTAACAAGGCTGATTAAAATTAGATTTGATCAGATCTCTGAAGTCCTTTTTTCATAAATGAGACTTTAATTTAGAATGTAGAAGTATGATTTAATAAAAATATCTAAGTGTTATCTATTGTATTATTATTTCATATGCATGCATATAATAATTTCCTTTTTGATTATTAAAAAAAATCGCTAAATATTAGCATGATTTTTGCGAATGCGAACGCGTAACGCGAATATTGAAAAATATGCGAATATTCGCGAATGCGAACGCTATTCGTTACATCACTAATATGTAGTACTTACAGAGGATCTGGATTTCCAATCTCATTCAGGGCGTGCGGATCAAAGATGTAGCATACTGTTTTAACAGCAGACCCACTTTCTGGCGACGGCGGATGGCCCCAAATAAGGAAGTGCTTTGTGCCACCGATCGTTAATATCATCATGTAGGTTTGGCCCATGCGCTTTTCCATGAGGCTGGAACAATATTATTATGCTATATATTCACTCTATTAAAGTTGGTCAGGAGGTCGATGGCGCAGATGGTTAGCGCGTTCGGCTACGATGTTAAAAACTTTCGCACTGGTCGGTCATTGGATGGGTGACAAAAAAATCATTATCTCGAGTTCCTCTGTGCTTCGAAAGGCACGTTAAGCCGTTGGTCCCGGCTGCATCTGCAGTCGTTAGCACCCACCTATCCGCACTAGACCCGCGTGGTGGGCCTTGGTCCAATCTCCCTATTCCATAGGGAAGGCCTGTGCCCTAGTAGAGGGGACATTAATAAGCTGATGACGAAAGATGGTCAAAAATTATCAAAGCATTCAATCTTCCATAGACCGAACAGGGAGAGAAGATACGCTAGAGTTTGGTCATGCGATCGTGGAATAGCGGTTGCTAAGAGAGAGGTTGGTCAATGTTTATTCAATACAAACATTCTCGACTGATTCTGCCATGATTTTTATCACTAAAGAATAGATTTTCATACAAAAAATATAATAAAAAAAATTGTGTGTGTCGGCCCCGACGCATGACTGGAGTTTACTCCTTAAGTTCGATAGTCTAACCAGACGCAAAAAGAGTTTATTTAACTTAAAAAAGATTAATGTCAATCCGTCATCTTTGTTTGTCAAAGTTGCGCGACATAGGATGCGCACCAAAACTTAACGAAGTCATTCATCATGGATTTTACTCCTCACATTTTTCCCATACCGGGCCCCTTATATATGCAAATCGATCCTTAAGGAGTAAACTCCAAAAAAACCGTGAAGGATACGCACGGCGTCGTGTATGAAAGCGTATAGTATACAGGCCCTGTCAGAATACCAGCATTGTCGTGACACGTTTAGTTACATGTCACGGCAGCATTATGCTGAAGCAGGGTCCTGATTGACCAATATGATGGCTGTTAGGTTTACAAATGTGTGTAATGCTCACTTTTTATATATGTTTTTTTATTTTAGCAGTTTATAAATATAGGTTTGTGGTTTATTGGTCAATAAAATGGTTCTCTCTCTCTTTCAGTAAAACGTTATACAGCACGCTCCGTTGTATTACCCGTAATTTTGAACTTTTAAACAATGTATACAACCTTCGTAAATGCTTTATTTTGAGCAAATAGTATTGAAAAAGCATTTCCTTGCCCAGTACCCGTCAGAATTTCCACATTATTTTTATTTTGGCAGCAATAGGAGCACCTCCAAAGTTCCTTTTATCGCCACACCAAACTTTTTAAGGACGCTTTGCTTCAGTGGTTTAGACGTAAACGTATAAAACGTAAACGCGATAATAGAGAAATTATCATTAAATGCCTTATCTATAAGGTGGAGAATATATATTCCCATGTCTCTTCTCTCTGTTTAAGCTGAAAATTTTCTATCCTTGTTTATTTTTACTTGAATGAGATACTATCAACCATCTACTCACGTCATAAGGTCCACATCCGCTTGGATGTTATCAGGGTGTTTGGCCAAAAGTCCTCTGTCTACTTCCAGCATTTTCACTGTGTATTTGGTATCGTGGAGGAAGAAGGATGTTAAAAGCTGATTGAGTTGGAGTGCCGGTTTTCCTGTGAGTGATACAGATTTGTTATTTACTAGTAACTTTGTCGTTTGACTGCGTGGATAATTGGTGTGCAGCCAATACCTACAACTATACTGTCCACAAGATCGCTTCGTCTAAATTACAGATTTAGATAAGGTTGGCGCAATCATCTCTTATTATTGTAATTCCAACATCTGAGCAATAGTCTTATTATGGTTGTGAGGTGTGGACCATTAAGGAGAAAATACGGCAAAAGCTGGAGGGCCTTGAGATGTGGATTTACCGTCGTAAGCTCCGGATAAGCTGGGTAAAGAGAGTATCAAATAAGGTACTCCGACGTGTGCATAAACCCAGACAACTCATGAAGACCATCAAAAGAAGAAAGGTAGCCTTTCCTGGTCATATTTTAAGACATGAGCGCTATCATCTTCTCCAGACTATAATGATGGGGAAGATAGAGGGAAAAAGACGCGTCGGAATAAGAAATAAGTCGTGGCTCCGAATATCAGAGAGTGGACTGGTGTCGCCAGCGTGGATAAACTATTTGGTCTAGCAAGGACAAATACGCAGAGCTGATGACCAACCTCCAGTAGTAGGGATCATTTTTACTTTTAATTTAAGTGTTTTTTGTTGTTGTTTATTTGTCGAAATTCGATTTATATATTTTTCTTTAGTGTTAACTTCAGCCCATAAAATTTTATCATGTTATGCCCACATATTTAGAGTTACAGTATGGTTTTATATTATTGTAATGCTTTGTTTTTTTTTTAATATAATTGTAACTTGTTTTGTGAGCTAATAATAAATAAATGAAAGTAAAAAAAGGAGGAGGAGCCATAATTAGAAGAAGATTACAGTTGGACAAGCAAGGCTTAGCGCATTTCTTAAATCTATGATTGAGAGTAGAAACGCACATTCTCAGCTCAGTCTTCTTCATGTTTTTCATGTTTTTACGTATTAAACGTAATGAAAATTCTGTTTTCTGTTGTGATTATGGTATTTGATTATATTTTGCAAAAAAATAAATGGTTGAAACCCAAAAAATCCTCACTTTAATTTTTGTGATTTAAAAAAGTCCATTTCGTATAATGACCCGTCTACGCTTTGATTCAAACAAGTTACATAGCGTTTTAAATCAATAAATTCTGATAATGCCTGGGTTTGTGACAAAATTGGAGTTGACTCATCTTTTTCTTGATTTTTATCACTTAGGGCCTCTTCTTGTGTATTATTCACATTCTCATTGAGTTTTATGCTGCTATAAGAGGTAATATGTGTGGTACGTATTGGCGATTTAGGCGTATTAAACGGGATGACGTATCGTATTAAGCGTTAAGAAATGTATGAAAACATGTCTCAAGTTGCAGGGACTGACGCAAAATGGCGTTAAATGCGACAAATCGTATTAAGCGTGATCGTATTAAACGGGTTCTACTGTAGTTAGCCGTTTTCTCGCCGGCGGTGAGACTACTGCCTAAGGGGACATGAAGTAGATAAATTTCTAGACAGAAAAAGTTATAGTAGATCGGATTGTTTCGCCTCTCTTACACTTATAGCTCATTTACACTTGGTCGTTAGGCTGTATTCGGGTGCACGAAAGACAACACTCGATTCCGGGCACCCGTAGCAATATTTGCACTGGAAAACGGGCTGGAAGACAGTGTCGGCAGTGTTACCAACCATAACCAAAATTTTCCCCTAAGTATTTATTAAATTCCCCTAAAATCCCCTAAATATACATTTTTTAAGTACCTACTTATTACCCAAATTCTTCCGTTGGTCATAAATTAAAACGTTACATATTTAGTTACAGTAAATTATTTTATTAAATAAATACAGTTTCCGAAAGGACAATCAAACGAAAATGAGCTGACAGGCTGTTAAATCTTATTTAGCTATTTTTTTAGTCCATACTGTGACATATGGTTATAATAATGGTATCCCAAAATTTATATTTGTTGTTGACAACACTGGCACTTGGTAGCAGCATATTTTTGTATCACCATAAAACGTGTGCTTCTTAATAAAATACCAAATTAAATCAAACACATCTTTTATTAATATTGTACATGGTGTCAGGTGAAGAAGAACCTAAAAACAATTAAAGTGACTGTGTGTCAATTTTTAAAGTGACTGAGTGTCGAATAAGAATAATATTTTTTTTTAATTCAAACATGGAGGGCCTAAAGCCACCAAGAGGCCTTGTACTTTCGGGCCCAAATCAAAATTTTGGAAAGTTTGTTCAACTTTTCCAAATATACATCAGTGCATCAGGACTGGAAACGTGCAGTGAAAAAAGAAAAATTGCAATATTTCTAAATGGCGCTGGAGAGGAAGCGGTGGAGGTTTATAATACGTTTCCGAAACAAGAAGATGAAACCTTACAAAGTCTTGTAGATAAGTTTCGAAATTATGTGGAACCTAGGAAAAGTTTGATGTTAAACACGTATGAGTTTCTCAAAATAAGACAATATGAAGAGGAGACTGTAGATCACTTTGTAACAAGATTGAAAGTGGGGGCAGCGGCCTGTGAGTTGGAGAATGTGCAGGACAGACTCATAACAATGATGATCTTGATAGGTATCAGAGAAAAACAAGTTTAAGAATGTCTTCTACAAGAAGTGGATTTAAATTTGGACAAGGCAATAAATATAGCAAGACAAATAGAAAAAGGAAAACAACAAATGGATAAAATGGAGACTAATGAAAATGCTGTGCTAGTAATAAAGAAAGAACCTAACTCTCTGATTCAAAAAATGTATAAATGTAACAGGTGTGGAAGAGAACATGCAATAAGAGCATGTCCCGCTTATGGAAAAAAGTGTGCTAGTTGTGGAAAGTACAATCATTTTGCAGCACAATGTAGAAGTAAGAAGGATTCTCGTCAGGCAAGAAAGGTGATGACTATAGAAGAAAGAGAAGAAAGTGAAGATGATGACGTTGTGTTCAGGTACGAGATTGACAAGGTTAATGCATTATTAAGTGAAAAAAATAACCAGTGGACAGAAAATATTGATGTACAGGGGGAGGTAGTCTCTTTTAAACTGGACACAGGAGCTGAATGCAATATTTTACCGCTATCTTTGTGTAATAGAATAATTAGTAGTAAATTTTTACAAAATAGCTATAAACTCTTGGTAGTATATAATGGACAAAAAATTAAACCGTCAGGGGAAATTGAACTCAGCTGTTCAGTTAGAAATCATGAAACTAAAATTAACTTTACTGTTGTAGATTTACCAGTACAGCCAATTTTAGGGTTAAATGAATGTGTTCGTTTAAATTTAATAAGGAAAGTAGATACGCTTCATTGTTATAAAAGAGATAATAAAGAAAAACAGTTGTTTATCAATAAAAATAAGGATGTTTTTACAGGGTTAGGAAATATTGGTTCTTATAAAATAAAATTGACAGATAACGCAGAGCCTGTTGTAAAACCCATTCGAAGAATTCCTGAAAAAGTTAAGGGTAGGTTAAAAGACACTTTAGGTAGATATGAAAGCTTAGGAGTCATTGAAAAAGTAGAAAGTCCCACGGAATGGTTAAATAATTTGGTTATAGTAGAAAAGCCAGATGGCTCATTAAGGCTATGTTTAGATCCTAAGGAACTTAATAAATGTATTAAGCGGGAAAGATACCAAATACCATCAGCAGAGGAAATTTATAACAGTTTATCAGGGAATGAAGTTTTTACAGTACTAGACTTAAAAGATGGATTTTTTCAGATAAATCTGGATGATCCTGACAAATGCTGCAGTTTTGGCACACCATATGGCAGGTATCGTTTTTTAAGGCTTCCATTTGGAATATCTTCTGCACCAGAGATAATGCAAAAAATTAATTCACAAATATTTGATAACATAGAAGGTGTTCATGTATATTATGATGATGTGATTATAGGCAGTAAAAATGAAGAACATGATAAAATCTTAAAGTCATAGATAGAGCAAGAAAATACAATCTAAAGTTTAATGAAAATAAAATACAGTATAAGTCAAGTTATGTAAAATATGTAGGATTAATTGTATCTAAGTCAGGTATACAAGTAGATCCAGAGCATATAAAATCTATCACCAAACTAACAGCACCTAAGAATATAAAAGAGTTGCAAAAGTTTTTAGGTATGACAAATTATGTAAGTAAGTTTATACCGGAGTACTCCAAAATAACAGAACCACTTCGTTGGTTACTTAAAAAGGATGTTGAGTGGGTCTGGAGTCTTGAACAAGCAAAAGCATTTTGTGAATTAAAAAATAGGTTAACGTGTGCACCAACATTAGGAATTTTGGTAAAGGATGGTGCAGTTGTACTACAAACTGATAGTTCAAAGGATGCTCTAGGGGCTTGCCTACTGCAAAAGGGTAAACCTGTCTCATTTTATTCCAGAAGTTACACAGAGTGCCAAAAAAGATGGGCTCCAATAGAAAAGGAGTTATTTGCCATGTGCGCTGCTTTAGAAAAATATCATCAGTTTGTCTATGGTAGAAAAATTATCATAGAAACAGATCATAAACCTTTGGTTGGGATTGTTAACAAAGATATTAATAAAATAAGTTCTAGGTTACAGAGAATGGTACTAAAGTTACTAAAATATGATATTGATGTTAAATATGTACCTGGAAGTAAAATGTATATAGCAGATTTTTTGTCTAGAAATTATATCAAAGATAATGCAGAAATAGATCATAGTTTGAAAGAATTAATTCATAGTGTTGAAACGGAAACTGTGCATAGTTGTGAAAATGATTTGTCAGTGTCAGATAGGAGATTGTTACAGTTAAAAAATGAGACAAATAATGATAATGTGTTAAAGCAGTGTATAAGTTGGTATAAAACAGAATGGCCAAAAAATGATAAAAATATAAGTGTAAAAGAGTTAAAAGTTTTATATAAGTTAAAAGACTTCATTAGTGTAAAAGATGATATTTTGTATTACAAAAATAGGATAGTGGTTCCCAACACTTTAAGAAAAGATATGTTGGCTATTGTGCACAAGGGACATTTAGGTGTTGTGAAATGTAAAAAGCGTATTAGACAATCATTGTTTTGGGTAGGAATGTCGCAAGATGTGGAAAATTTTGTTCTTTATTGTAAAGTGTGTGAAAAATTTAGAGTTAATAATTGTAAAGAACCACTCCTTTGTCATGAGGTTCCTAATCTTCCATTTTTAAAGTTAGGTATGGATATCTGTTTCTTTAATGGCAAAGACTATTTAATAGTAGTTGATTACTATTCAAAATGGATAGAGGTACTAAAGTTAAAGGATAAAACTGCAAGTTCTGTTGTTAATAAGTTGAAGGTAATTTTTGCCACTCATGGCATTCCAAAATGTATTGTCAGTGATAATATGCCATTTAATAGTTGTTACTTTAAAAACTTTGCAAATGAGCTTGATATTGAGTTGGTTTTTTCAAGCCCACACTATCCGCAAAGTAATGGTTTGGCTGAAAAAGCAGTGGGCATCATAAAGAATATTATGAAGAAATGTTTAGAAATGGGTTCAGATTTCTATCTTGCCTTATTAAATTATAGAACAACACCAATTAGCAATTTAGAGTATAGTCCGGCAGAATTGCTGATGAATAGAAACCTTAGAACTATGTTACCATGTAAAACAGAGTTGTTAAAACCAAAGTTACCTGTTAATTTAAAGGAAAGTTTTTTAAGAATAAAGGAGAAGTCACAGAAAAATTATAACAAAACATGTAAGAATAAAAAAGAATTTCAAGTAGGAGAAAATGTTAGAGTGCAAAATTATAAGAGTAAATTGTGGGAACAAGGAAAAATTATCAATAAATGTGACAACCCGAGATCCTATGTTGTAAAAAATGAACACAACAAAACTTTAATAAGAAATTCTAAATTTCTAAATCCTAGTAAAAATGATTTAGTTATCAAACCAAATCCATTGTTTTTTCGTAATAATAGTAATGACAGCTGTAGTAAAAACACAAGTTTGGTTCAGAGAACTAGTTCTAATAATCTAAATGATAATGTTACAATGCAAAACATGCAAATGCAAACTAATAATAGGAGGGTGACCACAAAATCTGGTCGTGTAGTTAGGACACCGTTGAGATTTAAAGATTTTGTTCATGAATAAATTGTGTCTCTTTGTGTAAAGTATTTATGTTATTTATAAGTGTTTGGGAAACAATCTGTAAGGGGGGGGGATGTGACATATGGTTATAATAATGGTATCCCAAAATTTATATTTGTTGTTGACAACACTGGCACTTGGTAGCAGCATATTTTTGTATCACCATAAAACGTGTGCTTCTTAATAAAATACCAAATTAAATCAAACACATCTTTTATTAATATTGTACACATACAGCCTTAGGAAACAACCCGCCACACAGTCAGTTCAGTCGTATCGTTCTTCATATCGTTGTGCGTTCCATTCTATGTTCCAAAACTGAAAGAAAACACGCTTTGTTTTTCGATTTAATTGCAAGTTTTGATAAAAGCCCCTAAAAGAACCCCCAAAAAATGCCAGCCCCTAAAAAAGTCCGTTTTAACACTTCTAGCCCCTAAATCTGGGGGCAAACCCCCTAAGTTGGGAACCGTGAGTATCGGGTAACCAAAACGAAATCTTCCCGAATACGGGAGTACTCGACTCCGTTCATTTACATTTAGTCGTTTACCCTAATTTCAGTAATCGCGCCATTATCTGGCCAGTTGTGGTTATGAGTTTCTATTCCAAGTTCGAATCCAATTTTTTTTATTTGGCAGTCACGAAAGTAACTTGATCATTATAGTTATCGTTCACTGCACACCATCTCTGGTAAGTGCGGCAAAGTTAAAATCTCACCTTTATAACACTTCATTCCGAGCAAACACTGGTGGTAATATCTGTCTCCCGCTAGAATTAACTCGTCCACATCCCGCCTGGTGAGTTGTGCTGGAGTCTTCTCTTCTAGAAGAGCACGGCACATGACTGCTATGCAGCCTGTTTGAGCTCCTAAGCAAGAAGGTAAATAAATAAAAACATAAGAAGGTAAATGGTTCAGTAACTGAAGTCTGAGATCTTAGTGTCGCCGCACACGGGCCACCGACCACAACCACAAAACGCCGCCACCGGCATATTTCCGTTAGTTTTCATACATTTTATATGGACTCGCCACACACGGTACGCCGCGCGCCGGTGGCCGCCACACGCTACAAATCGTCGTTGCTCGCTTCTTGTGGTCCGCACCGGTCACTTAATGCGCCGATACAAAACGCCGCCCACGTCACTCGCGCGATTCCCCACCCCTCTCTCCCTTACCTTAGTCGGCCGCTGTCGCGCGCTTCAGCCACTTTAGTAGCCGCTTCTAGCTTCTCGTGGCGGCGTTTGTGGCTGTGGCGTGTGGCCTGTGTGCGGCGACACTTAGTGTCTGCGAAAAAGAGATCTTTGGCCCGATTTTTACTTATTACTGAGACATTAAGGTGCTTCCTGTGTTAAATGTTTTCATGAAAGACCTAGCAAATTACGTGGCGAGGATATATCTCGTGGAAACCCGGAACCTTACTGATAGAAATATGGCACCATAAAGATATTGTTATCGGCTATCTGTTTCAGTTTCGGTTTCGGCGCAGGCCATAAAAAATTGTAAAAGCTCTCTTTAAGGACATTTGTGTTTACAGATAGAGCAAACCGTGTGTGCGATTCGCACTTGCCTGCGTTCAAAAGTACCCATTTCAATTACACTGGATGTTTTTAAGTAGTTACCCTTTGCGAGAGGCCCTGCGTACACTCGCAGTGTAACAAATCGGTCGGAGGAGGGTCCATTTGAACGAGAATTGCACGCATTCCACTACTCGCACCCAGAGCCTGGGTTCCGAACCACCTGGGGGTAATTACCCCTCCGGGGGTAAATCACCCATACTTCGGGGTAACAAAGAACCCAATAAATTGGTCAAATCCAAATAATAAGAAAATACTATACCTATATAATAATACTACTAAATAGAGCATGCGCTCCTTCTTGCTAGCGAGCCCGAGGGGTGCTGAGTGTGGGAAGCGGGGCGAGATCTTTTCCTAATAATGACATTATTGAAGACGAAGATGTAGCGGCCAAATTGGAATTACTTGGACTGATGATAACATTTTAAAGTCGGGGTAAAATCTGTTTTCCTAATAGGTTACAGGGGTAGCAGTATTGGAAAGGTTAGGAAACACTGCTATAGAGGGTTAGTTTTAATAAAACTCCGCGGAATCGCAAATTATTTTTGCCCATGCCTTAATTGTTGATGGTTTTCCTTTTGTATAGTTAAAAATATTAATATAAATAAAAATGGAATTTTGGCAGAGATTTTTGATGGCATTGCATAATACTTATGATTTAAGTACACTTACGCTTACCCTAAACGTAAACCTGTCTATAACGTATACCTATCAGTATCTCCTTTTCATTCTGTCTGTTTCAAACAATCTGACAGTCACGCACACATTCCGAGTAACATGAGACGTGTCTATATTCAAAGCACATACTCTTGTTTGCCATTCTTGTTACATTTAAAAGAAGCTGCAAACTTACTTACGTCCATGAAAGCAGTAAAGTCCTTGACGACTAAACCAAAATGTAGATTAAGCCTGAAGAGCATCCCTTGATAAAAGATCAAAAAAATATCTCTAAGTACTCACCGCAAGCATTAGACGAGTATTTCTTGTTGTTGCAGGATATGCTCCCCTGCAGCATCATCTTGTTCGTATCGACTTTGTAGAAGTTGTGCCAAATCTGTCAAATTACAAATACAAACAAATACAAAATTAGTTTATTTCAATAACTTAGCCTACTACAATATATGAGTATGGTACATCCTTTTAACACGTTCACTGCGTTGTGTGGTCATATTGGCTCATAGCTAACTTTCATTCCGTGCGCACCGCAAAATAGCGTTTACTCCCCTGGTGCGGAAGCCATAACTTTGTGTGTTGCTATCGTAGGAAAGAGATACATATACCGTTGTTATTGTCACTTGAACGTGAACAGCTCAGCATTTTTTAAAACTCGTGAACCAATTTGACCTCACCCGCACTTAAAGAAAAATATTTAAATCTGGTGCGGTGTGTGGTCAATATGACCAAGCGCTCCCCGCACCCCACACCCGTACTAGATGATGCGCAGGCGCCATTTTGTGACGTTAGTGATGTGGAAAGTTGTAATGGAACTAATATTTGGCACTGCTATGGTGAACGCTTGGATAATTTTTAACATGGGAAAAAAAAGGCATGCCAAATAAGGAATTTACTGAAGCCATTATAGAAAGTTTTACAGGAAAACCGATCTCTGCTGGTAAGTTTTTGTTCTGCTACATTTACGCAACCCATTTTTCCCATTCAAACATTGCATTAATTCTGAATTGTTCAACTGAAACATCATTGCTGCGATGATGTTTATTATGACTGTGGTTGATAAGTTTTGAAACAAAGTTAAAATTGATCGTTTTCTTCGCAATCTGAAAGGTTATAATGACCTTTTCACTATTTTCTATGTCTCAATAAAACAAACAATTACAAAAGACATGAAGACACTCTATATGATTAAGAAAAAGAATGATTTTTAACATTCAAAAACAATAACATTAAGACAACAACAACATTATCATTCATTTAATGATTTTAACTTTTTTTTTATTTGACAGAGGCATATATCCCTAAATACCTACAACTGCAAAAGAGGTACTACTCTACACAATCTTCAAAAAGCTACTCTGACGAATTACACTTGACAATCTTCAAACTTTTCCCATCTAATTCTACCATATATATGCGTTGTTTCCAGGTACTAGACATTTGAAATGCTGATTCAAGAAACTTTCAATAATTACTACATACTTTCGTTGTGTTTTTACACGAAGTAAATCACTTTATTTTATATCTGAAAAAACATAATTATTTTCATTTTAATACAACCTACAATAATCAAGAGTTTTATTTGCATTAAACATTTTCACATATTCTACAAATACATTCGGTATGTAAATAGAAAGTGATTAAGTTTATATTAAATATTATATTCACATCTCAGTACGTAGATTATATATTAAAAAATATATAACAGAGCAAATTTCCATCTTAAAATTTTCTCTATTATTGAAATTAAGGAATTTTTCACTGTTATTGTTAGATAACACTCTCAATAGTAACAGATGTTTCCCATCACTAGTTTATTATAATATTCAGTGCGTTGTGTGGTCAAAATGAATTCATAAATTGTTTCTCTTCTGTAGAACAGACGCAAAGAGCGAACTAAAAACGCAGCTAGTTATATATTGTTTATATATTGGTCTTTGGCCTGCATATAAAAAATATTTTAAAATAACTATAGAGGTACTGAATAAACCCATATTAAAACAAACGATAGAGGGTCAATTAGACCACACGACGCCCTGCAGGAAAGTCTCCTATGTGCCAAGATGACCTCTTGACGCACCAGCTGAAAGTACACTGAAAAATGCTACGCAGCGAACGTGTTAAGCAGTAAAATTGCTTGTGTTAGGATGCACCGCTCTTCCATAGCTTGGTTACAATAGGCCAATTAACAATCCGCCATTTAAATTTATAATAATAATGGATTACATTAATATATAGTTAAAGTTTTTTTTTTTTTTTTTTCAAAATAATAACATAAACTAACAAAGATTACATTCTCCGGTTTTTTTTTTGAGGGTATAAACATTATTTTTTTTTTGTTATATATTTAACAGTTTAAAAATTTCGTTTGGGTAATATTAGGCTGCTAACGTGTGTTGTGAATGTGCGTGTGTGTGTGTGTGTGTGTGTGTATTAGTGTGCGTGTATACATGTATAGTGTGTCGTAGTACCTATGTGTGTAGAGAGGACTTAACGAGTTACTACTGTATTTTATACCCCACGACATTTCGTATCGAGAGTTTACATTTTACATACCTATAACCCCACTAAATAAATAATTCAACTTCTGTATAACTTTTAGTTTTTAGCCATTCTGTTAACGTAGTTTTGCACCTTTTGTAAGTTAGAGGGTAAGTATTGAGTTCTTTATTAATTTTATTATATAATAAAGTAGATCTCCATGCAAATTGCCTTTGTGCAAAAATTGATTTGACCTGAGTGTGTGTAACAATATTGTGTTTCTTTCTGGTTTTGCTAGAACTTGTTTTGTATGAGAGGGATTTGTGTATTCCTAGTACTGTGTTCAAGACATATAGCTTTCTCACCGATAGTAGTCCAGTAAAATTGTAAAGTATTTCTGTTGAGAAATCACGGGGCTTGAAATACATCACTTTCAATAAAGCTCTCTGAGCTCTTTCCACGTAAAGAAAATTTGTTTTATTTGCTCCACCCCATACAGTCAAACAGTAAGTTATAACTGATTGAGCGAGAGAAATGTACGTTAGTCGCAACAGATGCTCAGAGGCCACGTGGCGTAACGTCTTAAATGTCCAGATGAGCTTTCTTGTTCGGTTCATAATGAGTTCAATATGACTATGCCATGACAAACGCTGATCGAGCACAATACCTAAGTACTTTGTATTAGCAACTTTTTTTAATTCAGCACATGAACAGGTATCCATATGATGCCTATCACACTTGTGGATAACTAATTTAAAGTCTGGCGACGGTTGACTATTATTATACTTGGTGAAACAGATGAAGTTACTTTTTTGTATATTTAGCGATAACAGGTGGTCATTCAACCAAGTAGCAATCTTGTCTAACCCTTTTTCCGTCTGTATTTTTAGTTGTGCCCATTCTTTAGCTGAAAATACGATGGCAGTATCATCAGCGTACGAAAAAATACAACCTCCCTCAATTCGCATATTACACAGATTATTTATGTACACGAGGAATAAAGTGGGACCTAGCACGCTGCCCTGCGGTACGCCGTAATTAACAGTGCACTCAGAGCTTAATGTTAACCCCACACGAACTCGCGAAATACGGTGAGTAAGGTAACTTTCCAGTAGTTTTAGCGGTGTTCCTCTAATGCCTGCTTTTTGAAGACTATCTATCAAAATTGGTATTGACACCGTGTCAAAAGCTTTTTTTAAGTCTAGGAAAACCGCTAAACACTTTTTACCATTGTCAACATTTTCCACAATAGAAGACGTCAAAGCCAAGACCGCATCCTCAGTGGAAAGGCCCTTACGAAAGCCATATTGGGATGGAGAAAGGACATTATATTTAGCAAAGAAATTTTCTAGGCGGACGTTTATTAACTTTTCTAAAATCTTTGCTAACACCGATATTACTGATATGGGCCTAAAGTTCGATGGATCTGTTTTTTTACCACTTTTATATACTGGAGTGATAATTGTTTGCTTCAAGGCCTCCGGGAAGATTCCCTGTTCAAAACACTGGTTAGTCAGGTGTACTAAAACAGGCACTACCTCATTGCATGCTAGCTTTAGGAAGTTTGTAGGTATTTTATCCCACCCAGGAGCACTTTCGGACTTTAAATTCATAAGCACGGATCGAACCTCCTCAAAATCAACATTTATGAGTGCAAATGAAGATTCCAAATTCACTTTAGATTTTTCAAGTATTGGTGTTTTGGTAAAGCTAGCTTATTTGTTTCTTAGGTTAAAGCTAGCTGGTATATTTTTAGCCAATTGTTGTCCAATAGTAGCAAAATACTCATTGACTCGGTTTACTGATTCTTGAGGTGAGTTTGCTATTTCGAGTAGCTCTTGGTTTCGCGATTTGGGGGGCTTTCGCTGTGTTATACTATTTATTGTGCTCCATAGCTTTTTGGGATTTTTAACGGCATTTTCTAGTTGTTGCTTATCATAGCTACGTTTTAACTTTTTAATTATGTTATTGCAAAAATTTCTATATCGCTTGTATGTTAACTTTAATGTTATATTACCTGGATCTGATTTCAATTTCTTTTGCATATCATTTCTGTTCCTAATGAAAATGTCAGTTAATTGTAAATACATTTATTACAAGCTGAAAGTTATGTTTCATAGTGCAGGTGGGGATTTTGTAATTTACTCGAACGCGGCAGAATAACATAAGGGGGGCATAATCTTGCACCTTGTGAAGAACTACCACCAAACGTGAGCCCTTTATAAAAGGCTCAACGCCTTGGGCAGCAAAAAATTTTTTTCAACAATCAGCCATGACTTTTGACTGCCTAATTCAATTCAATTCAAAATATCTTTATTCAAATAGGAAATGTAAGAAGGCTAAAGGGGAAGATCTTCCTCCGAGCTGGGTGGTGGTAGCTCGGGGGCCGCGGCCCGACTGATGTTGGTCGGGCATCGTATATATGGAGTGTTTGGCTCCGAATTTCTCTTGAGCGATGTAGGCTTCCATACGTTGTAAACGCAGCGCTATGGTGGCCGCTTACCATCATCATCATCATCATCAACAGCCTATCTTAGTCCACTGCTGGACATAGGCCTCTCCAAATGCACGCCACTCAGATCGATCTTGGGCTACTCGCATCCAACTCCTGCCAGCCACCTTGCGCAAATCGTCACTCCATCGTGCCTGAGGGACGTCCTACACTACGTTTGCCTAGACGCGGTCTCCACTCCATGAGGTAATCCGACAGAGAACCAGAGTTATCGACATAGCCTACCGAATTAGCAAGTTGAAGTGGCAATGGGCTGGCCAAAATGCTTGCCCACCCTTTTAACATAAAAAAGGTCGGAAAAATATGAGTAACAGTTGCACCTTGTTTAACTTGGCATATTCGTAAAGAGGCTGCGTCAGTTCTTCAGGAGGTATTCTCTGTAACTTCATTCGCCGTCTTCTCCTCCTCAGGTATGGTGGAACCCAGGTCTTGGTCTTCATTTCCGGCAGCTCTATCGCCTGCAAGGATTGGGATGATGAATAACTTCTTTTCAACACGCTTTTATTAGGTCGACCTGTATGTAACTAACCATGTAAAGGAATCTAAGAATCTGAATTACATGCACTTCTAATTCTTGTATCATCATGAAACTTGACAATTTTGTGTAAATTAGATGACAATATAATATTATGGTACCATCGAGCTGGTCTGATGATGGGATTGGAAGGTGGCTGATGGAACCTTGGACTGCCTACTAGTAAACATATCGAGTTGGGGCTCATTTAGATGTGTCTTAACATGTTCTGTTTAATTTTCATTTTGTAAATTAGTAGTTTAAAAAACTAAAAACCCGCTTTTATTTACATCACTAAAAAGCCAAAAATAAACTGTTACAACTGTTTAGCATTTAATTGAAAAAGCGTGAGGCGCTTCGTATTAATTTTTAACTGAATTGTTGAGCATTATGAATCACGTAATGTATTATCTGATTTGATAAATATTGCAATGAATAGCGCCCCACGCTTTTTCAGTTATTTATGTTAAAATAAACTATAAACATGGCTTACTCTAATGCCCTAATGAAGTAAACAGAGAGTATATTTTGTTTATTTTTGGCTTTTTAGTGCAGTAAATAAAAGTTTGTTTTTAGTTTTTTAAACTATTAATTTTTCTTCGTCTATCAGGTAGATTATCAAAAAATATTACACACGTTTTTTCCAATAACCCCTCGGCTGGCTCAAAACATCAGAGATTTAAATACTTAGATTTATAACCTTTGTGTTTTTATGTCTTTTACAATGTTACTTTACTACACGACTGTACTTTACCGTTCCAAAAGAATTAGCCAAATAGTTAAGAGCTCCAATAGGTCCCATTGTGTCGGTAAGTACGTCTTTGAGGGTCCAATGGGCACCATGTTCTTGATAGGAGATCGAACGGGCACTTTTTTGTAGGTAAGGTCCAATTAGGAGGGTCCAACGGGTACTAGACCGATGATAGGATAGGATTCCTATACTGATTTAAAATGTCACGTGTCGTCTCGATTTTGTACGCTTTATATAATAGTACATTACGATACGCGTGACCTAAGTTGCCTATTACTGCACGGCGTGAAGTTAGCGCCCGAGCGGAGCGAGGGTGTTAAACGCCGTGCAGTAATAGACAACTTAGGCCACAAGTATCGTATACTATTTTATAGCAAGTGTGACATAAACCCGCCCCGGACGCGGGCAAGAGGGGGAGTTCATTATACGCTGCTGTATACAGCCGTTTCGATTTTTGGGGCAACAAATTCAATGTCACCGACTTCGCCACTTCTTTAATTGCGTCCGGAACAATTTCACCGTTCTCGTATTCGCTTAGGTCACTATCCGAACTGGCCATTTTCGACCAAAAGATACAATTCTCGCGGAATGAATTATAGCTAACCGTTTCTCCTTGTTTTGGCTGTCACTGAAAATTCCAAACCTATCGCTAATTTGTCATTTGTTTGCTGTGAGTTTTTAAGCTCCAAATGACATTTAAATGTGTGTCCTTTCATTTTTTCTACATGAGTGAAGTTGGTCAATTCATTTACACACCGTGCAGAAATAGGCAACTTAGGTCACGGAAAAGCGTGCGTAAAGTACGGGCTTAGGTCACACTGTGCTATAAAAAAATAATGTAGTACAAGAGAATTATAACTCTTTGGCACCAATACTAACGATTGGAGGCATCTTCTGCGGCGGTGGCGGGGGGTGCCATGGTCTCGTCCTGATCTTAACTTTAGAGATCTCCGGCCAACGGCGCTTGAAGCGCTGTTTTCTCATCATTGCTCTGTACTCCGCTTCCCTGTATTGTCAACGATCATCATCATCAGCCTATTAATATCCCCACTGCTGGAGCACACCACCGAAGAGAATTTAAAGAGAGCTTGGTTATGTGCAGTCACGCTCTCTTAAAAATTTCTTCGGTGGTGTCGTGTGCGGCGGGTCGTTACGTTCCCTAAAATATGGTTGAGCGAAGCTATTGCTGGTTCATGTGTCATGCTCGTGAACGGGTGCTGCCAGCGTGGATGAGACTGCTCTATACTGCGTAACTCTTGAGATATTATCTATTATACCTAATATGAACACTGCTTACTGTATTTATCTGAATGACGCAACAATCAAAATGTGAGTGGACGTTGTATTGGTAGCGACATGATTCTTCTGTAAATGTTGCTACTTCTTATAAATGCTAATGAGTTTCTTGCGCCCATTCTTTTCATCAGCTAAAAGATGTCCTGGATGGGTGGTAGGAACAAAATATTGGATGATTCAAAAGAGCTTTCATTAAGTCAATTTGAATAAAGTATAATTTAATTTCACTTTATTCATTCATTTCAATTAAAATAAATTAAGCCACATTATGATGGCCGTTGGAGCCGGAAAGTTCTTGAGTGGAGACGACGACTCGGTAAACATAGTGTAGGACGCCCTGAGACAAGATGGGATGATGATATTCGCAGGCTGGTTGGAGTGGGCTGGATGAGAGTAGCACAAAATCGGGAGCAGTGGCGTGCATTAGGGGAGACCTACGTCCAGCAGTGGCCGAATATGGGTTGATGATGACGATGATGATGATGATGAAGCCACATTATAGCAGGACTAAGCTTTAACCCCCCAGTCTAATTCTAGCATAGCAAAACTAGATAATCTTCTTAGAAATGTTATCTTTTACTTACTCTCTAGCGATTTGTGAAGGCGTCTTAGTGGGAGTTTCTTCTTCTGCCGCCAACATTTCCTCTGGCACGCCCTTCTTGCCTTTATCTTCTTTTTTCTTTTCCTCCCTCTTTTCATCTTTTCTATCTTCTTTCCTGTCTTCTTTCTTATCTGGTGGCGCGTCTCCGGCAGCTGCAGTAACTCTAGAATCAAGTTTAGGTGGAACAAACTTTTTAGCAATCCATATATTCACAGTATCTACAATACAGTGATTAGACCGAACTTAACCTTAGACAAGAGAATAAGTTGTAAGTCGCCGAAAGAAGGATTCTGCGGAAGATCCTGGAATCGACTCAAGGAGCGGATGGCAGCGGGAGAGTGCGGACGAACATCGAGCTGGAATATCTAGTGTCCGAGCCCAACATCATCGGAGAAATTAAAGCAGCTAGACTTCGCTGGCTCGGAATTGTAGAGAGAATGGGAGAGGATCGAGTCGTGAAAAGAGCGTATTTGCGGCGACCGATTGGATGACGACCCGTTGGACGTCCCAGATACCGCTGGAGCGACGAGGTGCAGAAGGACTTGCAGTCTTTGGGTGCCGACTGCTGGCGGGACCTAGACCGGGATCGCAGAGCATCGCGTCATCTTGTGTCGGAGGCCAACATCCACTTTAGATCGTTGCGCCGCAGAAGTAAGTAAGTATGGATTCACCGTGCGTGTGCCGGGTCCATCGTGTGGGAAAGAGAAAGAAACTCTGAGCAGTTCCCGGGACATTTGACCCAGGTGTAGGTTTAAGGTGTCTCTTTGAGATGAGCATTAACACTAACATTCACTGCTCGAGTTGCACGCACTCCCTAGCCAAAGGTTTGGTTGTAAAAAAAATCAGTAATGAAATGATAGAAAAATAGTATCGCGAACTTGAGCGCCCGTCTTGGGATATAATCTTAAATATACTGAAACCCAGACACAAACTTTGGCAGCTCCGTAATCGTATCGCATCGTCAAAGTTTCTACGAAAACTGACCAGCGCCCTTTCCGTACGAGGAACCAAACTGGCTCCTTTAATACAAAATGTGTCGAAACTATAACGGATCTGTGAAAGTCCATGTTTCCGCTTCTCCAGAGTGCGTCCAAAAACAGTACTCATCAGCATCAGACAATAATGTATCCCCACTATTGGGGCACAGGCTTTCTATAAGAATGAGATAGAGAATTAGGGCCATGACATGACCCACTACGCGGCCCAGTGCGGATTGGTGGGTGCTAACGACTACAGATACAGTCGAGACCAAAGGTTTAACGTTCCTTCTGAAGCACGGAGGAGTTTTTAGTCACCCATGTAATGATCGACCTTTGCAAAAGTTGCTTAACCTTCACGATCGCATGCCGAATGCGCTCATCACCTGCGCCATCGAGCTCCTATCATCTTACACATTATTTTTATGTTAAAAGAGTGAGAGAGTGGCAAACAAGCGTTATCTCGCCTAATGGCGCGCTTACACTTGGTCGATAGCCCGAATACGAGTGCCAATGAAATTCGGATAAACACGACTAGTGTAAATGAACGGATCGAGTACGCCCGTATTCGGTTAGATTTCCTTTTGTTTACCCGAAACCGTCTTCCAGCCCGTTTTCTAGTATAAATATGGCTTCGGGTGCCCGAATTCGGGTTAACGACCAAATATAATTGTGGCATTATGGTAAGCGGTCGTATAAGCTCGCGATACTAAAATTATGACTCTGACCCAATCCCCTACCCCGTGGAATCAAACTTACCTCTTGCTTTTCTCCGCCATTATGCGCGTGAGAAGACTGAACCGTTTTTTAGCGTTTTTAAAGTATATCTTTTTGGTGCTTACATAAATTATTTCTCTCAATTCTGTAATGAAAAAATTGGTATGAAACATTGGAAGATGTATGTCGAGTGCGTTTTAGACTAAATACCAAATTGTAGACCAAACTATGCCTATATCAAAAACATACAGAAATAATAAAAAAAACTTCTATCAGGCCACTGTCTTGAGTGGGTGGTCGTTGAGAAATAGTACCTACTCATGTTTACAAAGCTTATAAATAATTACTTACCTATTTTTTTGCTTATTTTTTTATATTTTTTCTTATTTTTATTTAAACTCAAGCCACATCACATGAGGCATGTTCATGGATTTTATTTTTTTTGACATTTATTTTTAAAAGTCGAAAGTTGCAGTCAACGATAATAATAAAAATCGCGAAGATAACAAACCTCATTTTTGTTCGAAACAAAACTATGTACTTTACATACGATAAATACGTTACATTTTACACAATAAATGTACTGCGTAAAACCGAACACATTTATCATCTGTCTATGGTGGACACGTCACGTCGACGTCAAAATTGATTTGACATTTCGAATCCGAGCAAAACTTTGCGATTAGCGATCACAGAGTGATTTATTCAATCAAATTATGTTATAGACCATCAAATTAACAAAATAATGGTAGACGAAAGTACTAGGAAGACTTTGAGCAGCATACCCTTGCTCCAAACCAAAGCGGGACCTAGAGATAAAGAATTATGGGTGAATCGATTGAAAGAAGAATATCAGGCACTGATCAAGGTACAATTATATTTATTTAACTTTACTTTAATAGTACAACTTTCACTTAACGTTGCAGAACATAACAGAATGATTAAAAGATATTTTTTATCATTCAATTCTGTGCAGAGGGATGACTTTTGCAGAATGGTTCCACTCCACTTTCACTCTTTCAAAACTCGTTTATTGTGTTATATTTATAATAAATTATGCGTTCCTGTACAGAAACTAAATAGTTTAAGAAATGCTTGTTAGTAATTGTTTAGAAATGTATTATGTGGTTACATACTTATAAGTACAACAAAGTTGAATGTCAAAACAGTATAAATAGTATATTATATATTCGACAAGCTATTATAAATACTGTCTGATGTTTTTTTTTAAATAGATAGGTCCGACAAATGACTCTACCCCACCTGATGTTAAGTGATGGTGAAGTCCAGACGTGAAGATAGCTGATAAAGCAGTTCTACCTGCCATACCAGCCATCCTCACCTTGCCGGCCTGCATGTTGCTTCTTCACGCCTCATTTAAAGGATCCCAGGGTGTAAGAAGGAGGGAACATGTGAGCAGGCAGAGCATTTGATTTACGGATAGTGCCACAAAGAAATAGTCACCAAATTTCTTTGTACACGTTGGAATTGTGGCCTCAGTTAGACGGTGACACTGAAGGCCAGCGCTTAATTAATGATGATTCTTAAACTCAAAAACAGCTGACTAGAGCTGAGGTTCAAGTCTTAGATGCATCCTCTAGTTGAGCCGACCCCCTTAGGATCGAGTTATATAGAGGCTCCATATGAAGAGGACACTCCTCCCAAGAGAAGATGCCATCTGCCATTAATGCCTCTAGAGGCACTCTAAAAATCTCTTCTTGAGGTCTCTTTAGGATTTCGCCATCCCTAAACCTGGTGACTCTGTAAAGGTTATATGGGACCAACAGCTAACACTCCTTAAAAATAACAGAACAATGACTTGTTTGTTTATTATGGTTATTTCAGTATGTCCAGAATAATAAAGCGGCAGACAATGATTGGTTCCGTTTAGAATCGGATAAAACTGGCACAAAGTGGTTCGGCAAGTGCTGGTATGTACATAACTTGCTGAAGTATGAATTTGACCTGGAGTTTGATGTAAGTATAGAAAATTTGCATATTTCCAAAATTATTGAAGCTACCCTCTTTTAGCTCTCGAGGGTTGAATTTCCGAAATTTATTTGAAATGCAATGCAATGCAATAATTCAAGTGATTATTAATATCATTTTTCATTTAGTTAAGTAATTAGTACAATATTATTATTTATCAATTCAATCTATTTATTATTCTGGTGATTATTGAAAAGACAGACTCATTATTTCATTGACATGTTGCATTTATTGAATCAATTATTAATTTCTGGTTTCCTAAACATATACACTTAATATTGCCGCCATGTAAACTGTGCGAAAAATGTGATAAGATACCTACCTACGCAATATTAAATAATTAATAATTTTTTTATTTATTTGAATTATTAATTTAATATTAATTAATTTGAATCTTTGTTGGTATTTCTTTTATATTATTGTTAATTTGTAATTTCTACCCTATGTAATTATTTTAATTTTTAAATTGAATACAAAGTGAGTTTCTGTAATTAGCTAAAGTGCCGGTATAATTTTATATATGATTATTTTGTGTAAAACGCTGTCGAAACTTGTTGATGATAAAAAAATAAAATAAAAATGTCGTATGACTGATTTCATGCGACTCTCAAACTTTGATGCCTTCGATCAACAAATCTATAGATATTATTTATCTAAGAATGGTTATGGTTATATTACAGCCATCAGCACCACAGTAGTATAATGGTCAGTGCATTAAAATCAGTATTTGTAAATATAGCCTTGAGGTGTGAGATCTTATTTTAAATTAGTTCGGTTAATACGAAACGAAGTAGCTCGCTGACCAATGACTGATAAAAATAATTTATTTTGTGGGTCATGAAATATCAAATATAATTTATAAAAGGAACAAGAGTTTGTTTTATAAGATAAAAGGTTGTATGTGCAAATTAACATTTTGTTATTTGTAACCTTATTCCTTTGTAAGATAGTTGTTATTAGGTTCAACCTTGCTTTGATTTTGTCTGCAATCTGTTATCTATAGAATTGTTGATCGAACTTTGCTGCGCTTTATCTTTGTCCCTTTTTGGGTGATAGACAAACTAAACTATAAAAAGTATCCATTATTTTTTGATAATCCAACTGAGTGACTGAATAGTATTTCATTTAATCTACCCCTGTTACAATACCGAAATCTATTTATTATTTTTAACATCTCTTTCAACAGATACCTATCACGTACCCAACCACAGCACCGGAGTTGGCTTTGCCTGGCCTTGATGGGAAGACAGCTAAAATGTACAGAGGTGGAAAAATCTGCCTGACGGATCACTTCAAGCCGTTATGGGCTCGGAATGTGCCCAAGTTTGGGATAGCACATGCAATGGCCCTTGGGGTTAGTTTGTATACCTATCTATTCAAGGCATAAAAACAAGTTCTGCATTTATGATGGGGCTGGTATGAACAGTTTGGTTCAAGAGGCCCATAAAAATATAAAAAAAGAATATGAAATATTTATCTTATCCAGATTCTGGATGCTTATTCATACTCTGATGCTGATATTATAAAGCTGACAAAGTTTGTTTGTTTGGTTGAACGCACTCAACTAGGGAACATCTGGTCCGATTTAAAAAAATATGTTTGTGTTACATAGCCTATTTATCGAGGAGGGCTTTATAACATAAAGCCATGACCATAAGCTAAGCTATTGCTCCAATGACTAAAGAATATATGACGGAATTGTTCCCGAAAGCAGCGCAGGCCCTTATGCTTTAAGCAGGAGTGGGTGGTTTGTTTCATGTTATTTCATGCGACATGAGCGCTCTGTAAGCCGGGCGCGCCGTAAAATTTCTAATAAAAAAGTCTTTTAAGGGTGACCCACTACAACCCTTTTCCTCAAATAAATGCGGTTGAAACCGCAGGGCATTTTTAGTAGTTCCTGACAGGTTTTGTCCTTAAGTTAAACTAAAATATTAGCGTAGCTCAGTTGTTTTAATGTAAAAAGGGTGGGAATCAAGCATATGGCTAGTCTGATGGTAAACGGCCACCATAGTCTATAGATACCAACAATACCACTCGCACCGTGGCCTACCCTGATCTAATCTCCTACCCCATGGAGCCCTGGAACCTTACTCACCCACAGAAACACAACACCACCAATCATCATCAGCCTATTAATCTCCCCACTGCTGAGGCACAGGCCTTCCCTATGGATGGAATAGAGAGAATGGGCCATTTACCACCACGCGGGCCCACCCCACCATTGGCCGGTGTTAACGACTGCAACCGGAACCAACGGCTTAACGTGCCTTCTGAACCACGGAGGAGCTCAAGATAAAAAATTTTTTGGTCACCCATCCAATGACCGACCACTGCGAAAGTTGCTTAACTTCAACTATCGCAGCCGAAAGCGCTAACCACCTGCGCCATCGAGCTCCTAGTAGTACTACAAGGTAGTGTTATTTTACTGTGTCTTCTGTAAGGAGGTTACTTCCCTCTCTTCAATTTAGTACCAAAGCTACCTGAAGGTTCAACACGCAGGTGAGGAAGATGTGCCTGCATCAATGGTATTATATTAATTGAATTTTACTCGCAGTTGGGACCTTGGCTGGCTGTTGAAATTCCTGACCTCATCGAAAAAGGGGCTATCACTTACCAAGAGAAAACCGAAGAAGCCAAATGATGAATGGACAGTTTTATTAACATTATATGTATATACTTGTGTAAAATAATTATATTATACTTTTTTAGAATTATGCGTTTTATTTAATCTTTTAAATAAAATTTTCATGTCACAATAGTTACCATACTCCTCCGAAACGGCTTGACCGGTTTTAATGAAATTTTATATGCATTTTCAGTACGTCTGAGAATCGGTTACTATCTATTTTTCAAACCCCTAAGGGATAAGGGTTGTCCACCCCTAACATTCATTAATGATTTTTGGACTTTTTGGAAAAATACATACCTACCTAAATTTTCACCCTTCTACCATCAACCCCCATTTTTATGGCGGTACGAAGGTCGCTGGGTCAGCTAGTTTTATATAAATTCCTCTGTATCTTCATCATCAGCCTATTAATGTCCCCACTGCTGGGACACAGACCTACCGACCTAGAGTAGGGAGATTGGGCTATGAACCCCCACGCCCAGTGCGGATTGGCGAGTGCTAACGACTGCAGATGCAGCCGTTACCAATGGCTTAACGTGTCTTTCGAAGAACGGAAGAGCTCGAGATAAAATATTTTTGATCACCCATCCCATTTTCGATCATTGCGAAAGTTGCTTAATTTCCACAATCGCAGGCCGAACGATTTAACGACCTGCGCCATAGAGTACTTCCTGTGGCTTATAAAAGTTTCCAATTATTATAGACTTTAAGAGCAGACGCTAGTTGTCCCTATCGCACGGTATTTGCCAATGCGTGACGGAAATAGTTTTTTCAAATACCTATTTCTCAAATGCTTTTTTTTGAGTGTGTATTCTAAAGGTCATCTGTGACCAACATGCATGCATGCACACAAAAAAAGCATTTGAGAAATAGGTATTTTAAAAAAACTATTTCCGTCACGCATTGGCAAATACCGTGCGATAGGGACAACAATAGTTGTAACATTGTGCGCTGAAAATTGCGTATAAAAATTGCAAAATTCGAGGTTTGGCTCTCAAAGACAAAATTAGACATATCTGTGTTTTGCTTTTTTGTAATTGCATATTAATTTTTGTCGTCTTTTTATATCTATATGTAAAACTCAAAGGTGACTGACTGACATAGTGACCTATCAACGCACAGCCCAAACCACTGGACGGATCGGGCTGAAATTTGGCATGCAGGTAGATGTTATGACGTAGGCATCCGCTAAGAAAGGATTTTGATCAATTCTACCCCCAAGGGGATAAAATAGGAAATGAAAGTATGTATGAAACTTTGTCAATTTATAAGAAGAATCATAAATGAATATCATTGTGTAAGTATAATACAAGTCTGAGAACAAAACTGTAGTCTACACTTCAGCTCTACACCGAAGTGAAGCGAGGGCTGGTCGCTAGTATAGGTACTTATAAAAATCAATTGCTGTTCGTTAGTCTCGCTAAAACTCTAGCACGGCTGCACGGATTTATCTTATCTTGGTCTTGAAATGTTCGTGGAGGTCTAGGGAAGGTTTAAAAGGTGAGAAAAAAAGAAATTCATTGTCTATAGTACAAGCTTGAAAACAAAAGCTACAGTCGACACGCAGTGCCGTCTTTGATCTATTGGAGGCCCTGGTCATATTAGGATAATAAAAGAAACAAAGAAAGAAAAACATTTTATTGACCCTTACAGCATGAAATAAGTGTAACAGAACGGTACATCAAATAAAACATAGACAATAAAAAAAGAAAGAGCACTAAATACTAGGTCGTAGTGCGTGCCGTGCGAGGCCAACAGGTCGCTGGCTCAGCTATGCTCTGTGGCAGTCGCTTTCGCGATACCACAGTAGGGCTGATTTTCAGCCAGCGCCTTATGGTAAGGGTGATATGCGAAAGACGGAACAAGCAAAACAATCACTTATGTAACTAATTCTGGACAAATAATTCTATTTCTACTTATAACTACTACACTATACTATAACGCCGGCTCTCCACACAGCCACCCGTAAACCGAACGACAGTCCCTCCCTATCACTTGCCATAACGACTGATAAGGACAGCCTGCCAGACATAATGGGGCCCCTATGACTTCCATTTGGTGATTTAACAGGAACTAGGGACTTTGTATTTGATCTGAGGGGGCCCCCTATCGATCGCGGGGCCCTGGGCACTTGCACAAAGTGCCCACTGGGAAAGACGGGCCTGTCGACACGACAGCTCTACAGCGAAGCGAAGCAAGGGTGGACCACTAGTTGGTGATAAAAATTTGTTTATTTTGGCATTTGGTGGGCATACAGTTTTTTAGAAACTCAAGTTATCAAAAAATAAGGAAGGTGAATAGAAGGAGTAAAATTATAAATAATACTATGTAAGAAAACCTTAGTAATAAAAACCAGGAAGGAATCAGACGAGAGCGTTTATATGGAAAAAACAGTTGCATTTTTTTTTATTATTTTCCACAGATTTTTTATTTATTTATTTATTGCACAAAACAGAGTTACATCAAGCAAAATGGTAAATGACACTTAGAAAAACAATTGATAAAAAAATACTGAACTCCACTAGCATGTGCAAACAGCATGCTTATACAAGTACACAGCAACCATACATTAAAAATTCAAAATTTTGATAATTACATTAACATAGAATTCATTAATAACAATTTAAATGAGATTAAGACATGCACAATTCATTAATCAAATTAAAAATAGAAAATTAAATGAATTATAAATAAAGACATTATTAAATTAAATAAAAAACACGTAAATTTCATAGATATTGTTAAACAATAATTGTAATAACGATTATATCAATGGTATTAATAGATATAAGATACATGTTTCTCTTCGTAAGGGGTCATCCATAAATTACGTCACACGTATTTCATGATTTTTTGCTCCTCGCCCCGTCCTTGTCACCGCTAGTCACATTTGTGAGACTCCCCCCCCTCCCTAGTGTGACGTCACATATTGTGCAAATTTACATTTAAAAGTTATTGAATGAAAACAACGGTTCTGAAATCAGTTTTATTTCCATTTAAATTGTTTTTTAATAATATTAACATCAAATCAAACAATTAACAAAAGAAACAACGATTAATTATATTAATTAAAGAAATCACCAAACAAAAAACAATTGACTATGTTAATTAAAGAAATTAACAAAACAAAAAACGATTGACATCATTAATTAAAGAAATTAACAAAACAAAAAATATTAATAGCATTATAATTAAATTAAAGATACAAACTTAATAATCGTAAGTCCATGGACACTGAACCAACTCCTTTAAATTATTTATAACTGGCATAGCACCACTTTGTTCTCGTTTGGGTTATTAATGTTTTCGTAAAGGAATAGTTTCAACACTTAGATTATAATAGATTTTGAAATGTGATGTCACGAAATTTAGGACCCCTGCCACCCCCTTGTCACATGATGTCACACTTCGTCGACCCCCTCCCTCCCCTTAACGTGTGACGTAATTTATGGATAAAATGGCCCCTAAAAGTTGAGTTTTCTGAGTAGGCACTACGTAGGCACGGTCGATAAATGTTTAAAATTTATCACCCGTACATAAAACCGAAATTGTATTTTGTTATAGAAGTTGTAAAGAATCTGTTTATGTATCGTACCAATATCGTTTTATTGCTTTTATTATAAAAAAGAAATATAGTTATTGAAAGTTACTTACCTGCTTCTGAAAAACGTCAACATTTCGATTTTAAAAATGAAAAATCGACAGTAAGTAATTTAAATTACCTACTCCTACAGAAAGGAAGAAAAGGTTTTTTTTTCAGTAACTTATTAAAAGCAGTCTTTGATTACACGTACCGAGAAAACGAGTGAGACAGTGCTCTCGGCCGAATACCTACTCGGCAGGTATTAACATATGTAGCTAAGTCAACTTTTAGGCAGTAAGGGAGCTCAGTCGACGTCCTGAGTAGGGTTACCATTTAGAAATTCCAAAGGTCCTGACAAAAATCCTGACATTTCGAAAAACGACCGGACTTTTTAGTTGCAAAATGGTACCAATACTCACTTAGTTACAATGGTATGGTATTTAAATCAATATGTACTTTTATTATTCATATCCAATGTAATTTGAAAAATCCAGACAATTTAAAGACTAGTTATGTTTTTTATTTTTTAAGCATTTAACTGCTAGATGTCAGTGCATTTGGATTGCGAAGGGTGCGGGTTCGAGTCCCGTCCGCTGCCTGGTCCGCGTGGATTTTTTTCTAGTAAAACTTTTCTTTAGCAACATCATCTAGCAGTCAAATGCTTAAAAAATAAAAAACATAACTATAATTGCTATTTCTTCTTTCAAATGTTTAATACTTGAAAAAGAATTCATTTGACATTGTGGGTTACCTACAATGCGAAGAGATGGCGCTGCCTTGCAGCTTAAGGCTAGGAAAATTTCGACGCGGCCAATAGGGCCGTGGTAGCATAATGGTCAGTGCATTCGCCCGGATTGCGAAGGGTGCGGGTTCGAATCCCGTCCGCTGCCTGGTCCGCGTGGATTTTTTTCTAGTAAACTTTTCTTTAGATTTAACATCTAGCATTTAAATGCTTAGTAATAAATAAAAATATAACATAACACCCATTTCAATCGGAAGCTATCCAACTTTAAACAACCCTTACCCTCACTAAAGGTGGTGTTTAGTGTCCCAAAAAAGAGGTGGAACTAACAAATTCAATTAAACGCCTATTCCAATTTCAAATAGAGAGAGAGCATTTTATGGCTTATACATAATACTAGCAAACCAGTGAACCAAATGTTCACCAAAAGAAAAAAAAATGTATTTAATTAATTGATAACTTCAGAGATTTTGTGTTTGTTTCGTTTGAAATAGAAATCACGTGATTTTTCGAAAACCGTAAGTGCTACGTTACTCACATCCGGTTTGTAGTCTTGTCAGACTATTCTTAACTTATAACTTGAACATTCTCTATACCACGGACGGACGGACGGACGGACGGACTTGTCTAATAGATAAGAGATACTTATGTTTACATAAAAACAAAACGATAGCGCGATTCAATAGACTATTCCTGCCATCTAGTATACAAAATGTTAATCTGATTCT